CCGGTGAGACTTCGGAGACATGTCAGCTGCAGGGATGGCAGATCACAGACTGCAACAGTCCTCCTGTGCTCACATACGCATGTACTTAGTGTGTGTTGTCAATCTAGGAACTGCTCAGAAGCAGGAAGGGACTCGTACACAGAGGCTGAGGGATTTTGACATGTGGAAGAGAAACTTGTGTTCAAGAATGAGGTCAGGTGCTTAGTCAGAGGCTGAAAGTTGTGTCTGTTCAGACTTTGGTTCTCTGTGAAAATCCACAGTCCTGTAAGGCTCAAGAGAAATTAAGTGTGAAACACAAGTGGAAGGTAGAGAACAGTTTTTGAGCATGGGCTGTTGTGTTTTGTGTTTTTTTTTTTTTTTTCCTTTCCAAGCTGTATTGGCACATCTTGCCTGGATGCAGTGTCTTATCAGTACTAACACTGGGACAGCTTTAGTATTCCTGATGGCTATTCATATAACCTACCAACGACAGCAGCGGGAAGTGGAAGGGAAGGCTGTGGGTAATAAGTAAAGAGTTTATCTAATTACAAAGCAGGAGGGGACATCTGGAGGGGAGAATCAGCAATTGTTGTAACAATGGGCTGCTTCATTTAACCACGATGAAGAAAGAATTGAGTCACTGCTGAAGACATTACCACTGCTAAATTTCTGGAGTAGAAAACATGACTTAGGAAATGAGAAGTTCACGAAGGCAGATGGGGTGATGCTAAAAGGAAAAGTTGAATTGTAATCAGAATGGTGAAGTTGCCATGATTTATTTCTTGTAATCATTAACCTTTTTTAAAAAAAATAAACAGCGGAGTTTTAATAATGAGAAAAAAAGGCTAAGTTACAGACCAAGGCTTTTTAAAAAAAACACAGCTGGGACAATGGCAAATAAAGTCATACTTTAGGTTATAATAATTAAAATAGCCATCTCAGATTTAAAAACAGAAAGAATGGATTCCAAAGGAAGTGAAAGCAGCTACAGAAAATGCAGAATTTGAGTATTAAATGTTTAATAAGTAATCCAGAAGAGGCCTCTTGTGTTTCTAAGAGTATTTTATTCGTTAAAGACTGTATGCTTTCTACTGGTTGTTGAATGAACTAAGGGAGAACTTAAAAATCAGAACTTAAAAATCAGAACCACGGAGGTCAAACTGAGTTAAGAAGAAATACTCAGAAGTGTAGTAATATGCTGAGGCGAAGTCAGATAAACATTGAGATTTCAGTTAAGAGGCCTGGTAATCAGTCCAGTCAAGGGCAGCACACAGTAAATATGTTATTTGTTGGTTTAGTACCTTGAACTGTTTTTAGCTTACTCTACCCTCAGAGGAATTCCTGAGTTTTTTCTTGCATGCTCTAAAGTAAAATTGCCCTTTCATGACAACTGAAATGGAAACCAATTATCTAGCAATTGCATGAAAACAAAAGGTACACAGATATTAAGATGCCTATCTTAAGCTTCTCAAACACACAAGACTTGAAATGCAATCCTTTTTGGCATGATGCAGGACGTCCATTTCTAGTTAGATAGCAAAACCTACCACACCTGTAACTCCCACGCAGTTCCAGTTGATAATCAAATACCTCAGCTCCTTCAGATACCCTACATAAATATTATTTGGCAGTGGTAGAGGTAGTCAGTTATCCCTGAAAAACTACCTGATCATGCGCTTAGATAATCACAAACCTGCTCGAGCAGTATAAATCCAGTTTATAGTAGCTGTGAGTAGTACGTGGACACTGGCTCACAATAACAAAAGTCAAATGTTAACAGAAGTGCCAGAGCAGTGATCTCTGACACTTTTAGTTCAATGAATACTAGAAGAGCTGAGCAGAGCTGTACCCTTGTACATCGCCAACCAATAACTGAGGATGCTGGGAGAGTAGAAAGGAAATGGCCTGCAAGCTGGCTTGTGAGCTCTCTGTGCCATAGTCTGTTCTTTGGCCATTGTTGAAGACAGACTACTGGGCTAGATGGACCATTTGGTCTGACCGTTGGGCACTTGCATTCTTCACTCCTGCCTTCTAGCAGAAGATAAGAATCAAGCCCTTGGACTAGTGCTTTCCAGCATGACAAGAATGGTACTTATTGCAATGATATCCAGCCAGCTGAGAAAGTCAATTTATTAAGTCATTACTTACTAAACTTATACAGGCTGTGGGATTAATAGGAAAGAAACAGATTAAAATGCATTTGTTTAGTTTCAACTTTTGTTTCTGTGTTCATAGCTTAGAAGGACTATGCTCAGACTACTGAAGTAGTACTTAAGTCATCTACTTTTTTGGACTGGTGGAACATAAGAAATCGGAAAGAATTACTTTAATCTTGCCACCGATTTTTCTCCTGTGCACTCAACAAAATATGGGCTTATTAAGGAAGTTAGGGAATGTACTACATTTGATAGCACTATTTACAGAGAGATTTTTCTGATAAACATATCCGCAGTTTTGCCTAATCTAAGTTACTAGTTAAGCAAATGAGTTTAGTAAGGTATAAGCCATTGTAGACATCTCAGGCATTCCAGTTTAGTAAAGATGCAACTGTCTGCATAAGTCATCTTTCCACCCACATTCTCTGTGGTGTTTTTTAAATATTTTATATAGAGTTCATATACTATATACCACTTATCACTTAAAAATCAATTGACACTTTTAAAATGTTCAATACAGGCATGGTTTTGTTATATTATCTTATTGCTTAGAAGCTCTGTGGAATGTGAACTGCAGAAGTATAGGCAAATAAATCAGTATTTAAATTATATATTACATGTTTATTATGGGTGCAAATGTTTTAAATTTACATTCTACGAAAAATCAGAAGTATTTACAATTTTTGTAAGATAAACTTGTATGCTTTAATTTACAGTTTGACGTAGTAACAATTCATAAAAATTCAGATCTGTCAGAGTTGTGTTTACAAATTAATTTTCTTAGGAGGCAGCTACAACGGATATTGCTGTATACACAAGCAAGAACCAGCTTGCTACATATGTTTTTTTATCAGATAGCTACATGTACTTTTTACAATGTTTTTGAATGTCTTTACAAAAAGTCTATATAAACTTGTATGGCTTCAAAATTGTAACCTGCACCCAATGCAAATGTATGTATAATCACCTGAATGAAGGCTAGTTTAAAAGTGCTGAAATATAACTACTTCATTTAACTTAGAAATGAAAGTAATACTTGATTAAAAATAGCAATTACAGTTTTGGGTTTTCATTAATAAAATATTGTCATGTTAAACACAGTTTGATCGCAAAGCAGATTACAATTAAGATTCCAGTAAAAAGACTGTACCATTTTATGAGTGAGAAATTTACCATTCAATAAGATTAGCAAATTAAGAGCCAAATATACTCTTCCAATCAAATCTACATTACAGTATGTGCTTAGTGCTAACAATTAAACTCTTGTCCACAAAAGTGTGTAGTATACATTAGAACTTATGTAGCCTCTACAAAACTTAATTTATTGTAAAGCTTCAGCAGTCCAATTCATTACTGGTTTTGCATGAATTAGTTCAAGCACGTTTTATTGTTTTAATAGAGAATATGAAATAAATATCGGTATTCAAAATGGTCCTATGAAATTCCCGCATGCAGGTTATTGAATTATTTTGCCCCAATACTTTTGATTTCGGCATTGAAGAAAAACTTGACAATACAAATACATAGAAGATTTTCTATATTAGTGACTTGCTTTAAAAAACGTTACTAATGTGTGACTTCCCTGTGCTTAGGCTGTGGCAAGCAGATTAGATGACAATACAAATATTAAAATTGGTGGTTATAGAAAAAAATTAAACTAATAGAAATGGCAGTACTTGCCATCCTGCTGCCACAAAATACCCTTCTAAAATACTATTCTTCCCAAAGCACTATGTTTACATTCACATCACACAACCCCAAAAGCACTCAAAGTCTGAAGACTTGCAGTGAAAGTGAAGGGAAATGCTGTTTGCTTTTAAAAGTTTGCTTTTACCATCTTCGGTCATTTTTCAGGATTTTCATCTTTGGTGACATTAAAGTTACTATCTCAAAGTTTCAACGTCCTGCATGATGCATCTCCCTTTACTACAGCCACATTTATTGCAATTACCCCATGAGGAAGTAATCCAGTATTTTAAACCTCTTTTAAAACAATCTCCAGTTTTTGCAAATCTGCCTTCTAAATAAATCCCAGTCACAGGAATTTTTATAAAGTTGTGTGTATTATACAAACACCGTGCTTTCTCGATGAAGAGCCAAACTTTGAAAAAGGAAGTGAGGCACGTGAATAATAAATTGGATAGGCACAGGCTTTTTTTAAAGGCACAAAAGTTATGCAATTCATATAAAAATAAATTAAATCTATAGCATTGATTCAAACAACCACAACACCCATAAAATTTACTAACTGCAGAAGTAAATCTCTTCTGTCTTTTGCAATTTTGTAACACATTGCACTTAGGAAAAAAACCCTATATAAAACAACTTACATGTTAATAATATATGATACAAGGGCATCAAGTTACATTTCTGTTATACATCCCCAACTCAGCCAGTCTTGTGGCATGAAGAACTACATGAGACTTTGCCTCTGCTTTCTTTAAAAACTGCAATTTAAAAATCTGAAAAATGAATATTACTTATGGAAAGCGCAAATATTTCTTACTCGCTCTCCTACATTTTTAGCTGTAATGTTTACAGTATAACATACAATTTCCTACTTTCATTACAACTATTGATTATTATTTTGACTTCATCTATACAAACTTACTAAAATTTCAACAAATTTTTCCAAATATTGCAGATGATCATTTACAGACAGTATTGAAGTTAACTTCAGTGCTATTATAAAGTAATGAAAGTTTGCAAAATGACTTTTAAAAGTGCATTTTCTGTTCTGTAGTTCAGCCTCAAAGTAGGTCAACATTTTTAAAAAATTAATGCATGTTAAAATAGTGTTTGAAAAGTAGAGAGGGCAGAGCGAGCTTCTTGCACTCCTTTGATCGAATGACTTTCACAGGTACATCAGCAGTCTGCCATATACCGTCCTGAAAAATAAAAGGTAGGTTTTTTGCAGTCAGTATATAAAACAGATCTTGTCATTATTTTCCTGCAGCAGTTTGAGTAACTATGGAAAAACAAAATCCCTGTGAAACAGTTTTCAGCCATGTTTTAATGAAAAGCAACTATTTAAGCATAACTTCTTCAACAATTTCATACTTTATAATTTAACACTATAGAGTATATAATATTAATTGGAATATATAAGCATGTCAGTGTCTTACCAGTGGCAAATCTCTTCTTAAGGAGGGAGAGCCGATAGCCAGTGCCAACCAGCTCTACATCTACTCCTGAAAGGGTGCTTCCTTCACTAATGAATTGCACTGCGAGTGTTGCTGGTTTACTGGGTCCTTCTGAAAGCTCAAATTTTGCCCTGAGGGATCCAGAACCTATAAAAATAACAAAACTGAAAAGCTGGTTGTTTTGCAAGAACAAGATGGTCTTCCAAAATTTGTAGTAGTAAGAAGTGAAACTAACATGGTGACCTTTGAGATCTATTGGTAGTGGCAGTCCTACATCAATTTTCAAGAGAGATGAGATTACAAGTCTGTTTTTTCCAATACTCTGTTTAAGGCAATGACTAGTGAGTGATTTAAAGAGAAATTTTACACATTCTGCAAGATTATACAGAATGCGTGTATTGGACAGCCTGGTAATCTCTTGAAACATCTGATTGGTCCCTATAATAATCTTTTACGCTTGCTGGTCTGTAAGTACTTAATACCAGCTATCTCATATGTACTGCTTTTCATTAGCAGATTTGAAAGTACATCAGAATATTTAAATGTTGTCACAATCTGTCTGGATTGTGACACGTGAACAAAACCATTGCAATAAATGCAGCTATACAGTAATGCACCCAGAGGAAAGAAATTCTTATTTTTCTAATAAAGATAAAGGCTGAGTAAATACTTTCCCCCACAAATTTCATTTGATTTTTCAGAGACAGTGGTGAAGTGTCATCACTTTGATGCTATTATAAGGCAATAACTGTTCAAAATTACTGTAAGTACATTTCTGTAGTCAATGCAAGGCATTTATAAAACCCACAACATTGTTACTAGTCTCTTTTTCCAGTTCTTAAACAAGTCTTTTTTTCTTCTTAAAAAATATGGTGGGAAAAATAAGATTTAAGTAATGGAACAATGAAAGTCAAGTATTTTTACTTCTTTAAAACAACTTGCTATGCCTAGTCAATAGGAACTGCTAAATGACAAGGAAAGTTAGTAACTGAAATGTTACTAGGGTAAAAATGGGAATTAATACATGAAATTGTTTTATGCAATGGCTTATTCTTAATAAATTTGGCTGAAGGTCCATTTCATTTCTTCAGTAGATCTGTCATAGTTTGGGTAAATTGTAACTTCTTTCCACTCTAAGTATGGAAATTCATATATTCAAGCGCTTTGAAAGTTTGTTCTGTGTTTTCTGTCTGCAATTGACAGCTCACTTAATATGCTGGACCGTAAGAAAAACCAAAACATTTTACCACCCTGTAGACCAAAATAAAGAAGCCTTTAAAACATTAGCAGTGCTTGTGCAACTTCTCCCTTTGATTCTATAAGTGTAAGACCAGCATAGTATTACTTCCCATTACACAATGAATTGTGAGCACTCTGTGTTTACACTCCAAGAAAAGGGGAAGAAGGATGTTCAGAAGAGAAGGGAACATAGCAGAAGCAGATTCTCTCTGATTTTGGTTGAATGACAACTTTGCTGCCTTTGCAGGAACAGAAGAGGTTTTCCCTTTACAGGCTTGTAGTTTCTGTATGAAACCAGTCATATTTACAAGCAAATCTGTGCTTTCATAATGCCCTTCACTAAATTCTTAACAAGGCTAAAGGCCTTTCCTCTGCTCCACAAGTTCATTTCTCCACAGAGGCCTTGAGGATGAGATGCCTCCCTTTGGCTCCTGTTTTTCTGCTTCAGAAATTGTTGCACCTGCAGAGGCTGCAAGGGCCATGACATCACCTGGACCTCAGGGAAAGGCAGCTGTGCAGAGGACAACTATTGGTACCTAACAAAATGCTATAGAAATTACACTCTGAGGAGATGTGCCCAGATTGATTTTTTTTCCTGGAGTTGTATATGGTGAGAACAAAGACCCTCAAAGTGTTGGTCAGGAATCATCTATTCTTAAGTCTATCTCAGCACAGGACTTTTTGGATCTTTTTGGTTTTTTCTTCCCCCAATGCTTCCCGTTATCCATTTCTACTTTATTTCAATTGTCAGTGTGTGGAAAGACACAGATAGTAAACATGTTTTCCTTTGAATAACTGCTCATTTCCAATAGCATTGATGTAATAATTTCCTACCCAGTCTAAACTCTGTTTTAGAGCTACTGACTGCTTTCAGGGGGCTTCACTATTTTTCCTTTTATAGCTAATTAATAAATTTATATTTTGACATCACACTGTTAATGGAATCTCTCAGAAGGAAATATAATTGAGAAGAGGTGAACTGGTAAACAGGATACAGCATGAGAGGACGTGTAAACAGGCACGAGTGCATAAAGGCTAAAATGATTACCTTTTTGCTGTTACTATTTTTCTGTACAAGAAAACAAAACAAAAAAGTGCCACTTGCCTCCATTCTCAGACTTCTCTGAAATGCTAGATATTTTCCAATAGGCTTTCATCTGGTCTGCATTCCTGTAAGAGAATGGGAGGTTAGTTAATAGCACCAGTTTTGGCATATTGTTTCCCCTACATTTACACTGGTATGTTACAGACATCTCTAAATGGAGGTTTATAAAAACACTTGCTAATTTTAAGGTAAGCTTGTAGAACACTATACAAAGCAACCAGGCAAAGAGAAGAGTGTGTCTGCATTGCCCCAGAGCAGCAGAGCTCAGAAGTACACACCGCCTTTACATACAGTTAACACTGTCCTATGCCCCAGCTCTGGCTCCACAACACAACCCCCTCTGCAGCCTCAAGGGGCCAAATGCCCTGGAAGCAGTTTGAAAGCCATGTCTTTATGCTTCATGATGATGGTATGAGAGAGCTATGTTGATCGCTTTCCCCTATGTCAGACTCCTCACACCATGTATTTTATTCCACTTCTATGCTAGTAAAACTAGTTGGCGTTAGTGACGCAGAGCTTAAGCTAACTTCTGATGCTGCAAAGGGGCAGAAAAGGGCACCAAGCACCAGAGTCTCTGAGCTGACAGTGCTCCTGGAGCACTTTGCAGCAGTTCCAGCAAAGTCAACAACTTAAAGCTGTGAGCGGCAAGAAGTGCTGATAGGTTTGAAATTGCTTTTGGCTTTGGTGTAGCAGGAGCGAAATGCTTACACAAGTAGCACAGATGGGTTACTTGCAGGAGGTCAAGTTATAAAACATTTATTTTTAAAAAAAACAAAAACGCACCACCCAATCCACTAGACCAAACAGGTAGCATAACACAAGTAATAGAGCTGCTTGGGACATGACTGTATTTTTTTTTTTTTGTCAGCTTTCCAGGCTAAAAATTTCCTTCAACTTGGTGTTCTTTGCCTTCTTCATATTAAATAGACCCTCTGGGAAATAAACAGTTCAGGAATTACGTTAATAGCTGGGCAAGTACCCACATGCTGCCAAACCACAGGCACAGTGGTTGAATTCTGCTTACCTTTTGCATTAGGGATGTACTACTCTGCCTAATCCCACTACCCTTTGCTTGTTTTCACAGACTTGTAGAAACACAAGTACCCGAGATCTGTGTCGCACTTTCAAGTGCTCCAGTAAACGCAGGCTTAGAAGGTGGTGGCTGGTAGCTGCTAGTCAGATAATAATCTGCATGACGCTTGAAGTGAGAGACAATGATACCTGGCTTATGAAGAGCTCCTCAGTTACTGAGATTTGTTTTAAGACCATTTCAATTAGAAGCTAATTTTTAAGCTAGAACAATCAAGAAATCTTTTTAAGTACTGTATTTCTTCTACTCTCTCTATATAATCCATATATATATATGGATTATTTATACACACAAAAAATATTTTTTGACCGTTAAGAGATTTTGGGTTCAAATCACTGTATTAAAAATGTCTATCCTGTCCATTGGCCAAAAGAAAGCAAACATTGGAAATATCATAAAGGCTTGTATTATTACACAGTTGGAATAGATACATATTGTCTCATTTTAGTTTATGTGAATTGGCTGCACATGATCTCTTTCTAAGCATCTGATACTACACATTTTATCAAGGCAAAAAAAAATTAGCTGTTTCTTCCAGAGACATTTTACAGACTATGACACTAATGAATACACTGACATGAATCTGAAATAATAGAAAGAAAAGTATTAACATTACCATTTTGCAGGTGGAAGCGATTGCATATTTGTTACTCCTCCGTCGACTGGTACCATAACCTGGACATTAGACAGCATACTAGGCACATTCATAGACTCTGGATTGTACTTATAATCCACTCTCACATCAGTAGTGCTAGCATTACATTTCCAGTAAGTTGCAAGATTCAAGGGAGAAGACTGGATGCCATTTGAAGATACCTGTAAAAGAATAAACCATTGAAAGCAGCTTAATAAAAATATTCCCCTTTTGGGCAGAATTAGGGAATGATGGTAACAAATATAATTCTAAATCCTGACAAAAGATCAAGAGAACAATTGACCTCTGAGTCCTTAATCACAGAATTCTGAAGACTGTTGCAGCCTAAAGTATTTTCTGTTATTTTAATTTTAAATTAATTTTAAAAAAAGATTTAAATTCCTCTGGCCCATGAGGCTTCTTCCTGTTCTGGCTTTTATAAGTCAAAATAGTTTTGTTTTAGTCTTGTGTTCTGCCTCACACAAGAAGCATGCTTGCAGCAAAATGACTTCATCCTTAGCAGCTGTGTGCCATACCAGTTCAGCTGCCCAAGCAGCCAGCAGCAGAGGGCAATACCTGTGATTATGGGACAGGCAGCCAGCAAAATAGTTCTTACCTATTCCAAGCATTATATTCCCACTGCAGGAGGGCTGGATACTGCTGCTTCTGTAACTGAGCTTCTGCTACCACCTTCCTAGTCTACTTGAGGAACCTTCTGTGTCCTCGTGCCCTCTCTTGCCTTTCCTTGGCAGCCCAGAACCTCTTCTATCTGCCAGTGCTTCTGTATGCCAATGCCTCATTTCTCCCCAACAGTCAAGTCCCTTAATAGATACCATTCTTCCATGTTACTCATTTCTGCAATCCAAAGAAATGTTTTGTTCCTTCTGTATTTCTCAGGAATTCTGTGTACCTAACGTGCTTTTTATAGATTCAGTATGCCAAGATTTTAAACTATATTGGGAGGATATGGAAACTACACCGGTGTTAATAGCTAGACTGACTGGTTCCTTTGTGTTTTGATGTAGACAGTTGTCTCACATGTTCAACCATTTCAATGCAGGCCTAGTAAATCCCTGTTCTCCCTTTGAGGTGAGTCTGTCTTGAGTTTTCATCAAGATTTTTAATTGACAGCCAGAACATCTTCTCACAGATTCATAGAATAGTTGAGGTTGGAAGGGACCTCCGGAGGTCATGTGGTCCAACTCCCCTGCTTGAACAGGGCTACCTCGAGCCAGTTGCCCAGAACCACGTCCAGATGGCTTTTGAGTATCTCCAGGGATGGAGACTCTATCACCCATCTGGGCAAACTGTTCCACTGCTCAGTCACCCTCACAGGAAAAAGCTGTTTCCTAATGTTTAGAGGGAACCTTCTGTGTTTTAGATGGTGCCCATTGCCTCTGGTCCTGTTACTGGGCACCACTGGAAAGAGCCTGGCTCCATTCTTTTTACAGTCTCCCTTCATTGGTAAAATCCCCCCTGAGCCTTCCTCTCTCCAGGCTGAACAGTCCCAGCTCTCTCAGCCTTTACTCATGGGAGAGATGCTCCAGATCCATCATCATCTTTGTGGTCCATGTCGCTCTTGCAATGGACAACTGAGAACTGGACAGAGTACTTGAGGCATGGCCTCACCAGTGCTGAGTAGCGGGTGGCAACTCCCTTGACCTACTAGCAATACTTGGCCTAATACAGCCCAGGAGACCATTTGCTGCCTTTGCAGCAAGAGTGCATTGTTAGCTCATGTTCAACACGGTGTGCTCCAGGACCTCCAGGTCCTTTTGTGCTAAGCTGATTTCCAGCTGGGTGGCCCCCTGCATATATTAGTGCATGGTGTTTTTCCTCCCCAGGTGCACTTCCCCATTTTGAACTTCATAAGTTTCCTGTCAGCCCATTTCTCCAGCCTGTCGAGGTCTCTCTGGAGGGCAGAATGACCTGCTGGTGTATCCAGAGGGTCCTCCCAGTTCAGTGTCATCAGCAAACTTGCTGAGCATATACTCTGCCCCACCATTCAGATCATTAATGAAGATGCTAAACAGGACTGTAAACTTGGTACCGACCCCTGATCTGTACTGCTAGTTACTGGCCTCCAACTAGACTTCATGCCACTGACCACCATCCTCTGGGCCTGGCCATTCAGCCAGTTTTCAATCCACCGCAATGTCTGCTCATCCAGCCTGTACTTTGCCAGCTTCTCTATGACGATGCTATAGGAGATAGTGTCAAAAGCCTTCCTGAAGTCTAAATAGGCAATATACACTGCTCTCCCCTCATCCACCAAGCCAGTCATGTCATCATAGAAGTTTTTCAAGTTGGTCAAGCATGACTTTCCCTTGGTAAATCCATGCTGACTGCTCCTCATCACCTTCCTGTCCTTTGTGTGCCTGTAATGGTGTCCAGGATGAGATGTTCCATTATATTGTGAGAGGTGAGAATGTCATACGTTCTTATATATTATAATTCATCAGCTACAGCATCCAAAACTTACACAATTACAAAATCAAAGACAGCACAACTACAAACTCAAACAAACCCCCACCAAGCCCCCTAAATTCAAGGAAAATTTGGCTTTGCTAACAAATACCTACAGAAGCAGTGTTTGAAGCTTGCACACATGAACTGGAGTGAAGTGTGAGCAAGCTGAAACAGGTCATGAATCCAAGGGAATGACATGAAGCATACTAGGAACGGACTAAGCCTGGGCAGAGCCTGTGCATTGCAAACAAACGCAGAATTGGTCTATATGAGCTATGACAGTTCATCTGCATGCTAGCAGGCAAAGAACAATTCTTCTAATTTCTGTGTAGTTATGAAGTCTGCCAGAGTTCCTCAAAAAATTCCAAAGGGAATAAAGTGTTTACCTGATACTTTAAAACATCCACATTGTAATAGGATGCAGATGGATTCTGTTCTGATAATTTCTTGAGGTAGACAGTTATAGCTTGCATGTTCATCCAAAAATCCTTAGTACTGGAGTCACTTTGTGACTGATCACTAGAAAGAAAAACAAAAGCAGGAGTCAGAAGGCAACACTAACTTTTATTATTTTGGATGTCTAAAAATTGAGATCAGATCTTTCTCCTTCTTCACTATTTCAAGCAAGAATTTGTTCTAATGCTTTATAACACGCAATTGTACCTTCCTAAATATTAAGGCAAATAACTGCTTGTTGTATCTGGCAAAAATTCTCTTTCCTGGTTGTTGAGCAGTGAGTTGCCTCCACTGATGATCTGCATCACAAGATAGAGGTAATGCTGAATTCGGATTTTGCATTTAATAAACCACAATTTTAGTACAATTAGGTGTTGTGAGGGTATGTGGGAGGTAAAGATGAAAGTGGTGTTTGAAAAGGAATGTTACCCAATTCGGAATAAATCCTAAAATCATAATTAGCTTTGGTTATGACATAGCTTCACTAATGCACTGAATTAAGATTGGTGCTGTATGTGTTACTGTATTTGCAAATAATGCATTTTTCCATTTTCAGTAAAATATATAGATAAACGCTTACTTTTCACTACAGAGGCCTTCCACAATTTAAAAAAATGAAACCAGTAGTAAAATCTTTCTGCTGCTCCACAACCAAGTGCAATTCAAATCAGAAATTCTGACATCACCACAAATATCACTCTCATTAAAAACTTTAATCTCTGTAAATACCAAGAAAATTATATCCTTTGCAGTATGTGATGAAAAGTCAAGTTATTACCATATGGGTTTAAATTCGTAAATATCCATTACATGCATCTTTTCTAATTAGAGGTGAAGTGTTACAGCACTCTGACAAGAATACTAGACAGTTTCACTTTTTTTCAAAATATACTTTTTCAGTATAATTAACTCTGTCAGATACAGCTCTGCTAACATTTCAGTTATTAACTGGCATGTCAAAAAATTATTTAATTTCGTATGAATCATTCATTACATTAAGTACGAATGATCGAAATTCAATTAAATACAAAAGATGGATGCATATGGTTTGATTCTTTCCTTATTTCAGTAATTTAAAAAATGTAGCATTTAAAAGCATTTAACTCACTTTCAAATAATTTATCCAATAGATGAAATAGATCTCTGTTAAATATTTGCAGCTTTTGTAATTGTCTGTTTGGTTTTTTTTTTAAGATCTCCCAAGTACTGTGATGTCAACGATTTTCCTACTCAAACAGCAGCCTTTTTTTTAAAGTATTCTCCCAAGCATGCTGCTACACATCTGACAGATACAGTTATGTAATGGATCTGATCTATTGTAGAAATGATATAGCTTAAAAATACAGTAGTAAGTGACAAATGAGATTAGGAGTAGCTCCAACTACTTGCTTTCCATTTAAGGCTACTGTTTCATCATTTAATCTTACCACTGTTACTACAGTACAAAGAAATAATTTACAAAATGCATGTAAAAACACAGCGACATTTACAAACTATGTTTTATGGCTCCTGTTATACTTAGAACAAGTTTCAAGTCCAGTAATCAGTGACATTTTTAATGTTGGCAGTGGAGAGAACTGACTTGAACAAGATTAATTCAGGAAATTAAATGATGTATAAGCAAATCAACTAGACTGTAGAGAATTCTGATTTACATATATGAAACCTCACATTTTACAAATCACGTAGTTTACTATGATATTAAAAAAAATACAAAACCTGTATACAAGTTGTGCATTTGGAAGAATCTGCTCTAGTTTGCTTGTGTTTTTTACCCTAAGGCAGAGCACAGCTGGAGATGGGTTGCTGGTAAAGAATTTAATAATCCCACTTGGGAATGATACTGTCATATCACCAGTAATCTTCACAATACATCTAGAAGAGAATGAAAACATCAGTATTATTGCAGCTAATTAAGAGCCTACTTTTAATACTCATTTTAAAGCAATCGCTGTACTTTTACAATCTGATGAACTGAATTAAAAACAGAAAATCAATCTCAAATGAGGGTAATGTGGCACTGTGACAATGTACTATCACTTCCAACTTGGAAGTCAGATGAAATACGTAAAGAAAAAAGTTGAGCTGGTTAAGCATACAGTAGTCTTGGTGGATACTTTTCAGGCTTTGAAAACATGGCACAACTATGCTTAGGCAAGTCCTAAGTAGCATAGCAAGGGATGTGGCAGATGGAATGAGGTGCTTTTAACTGCCCAAATTTACATGTAGCACCTACCTGACTATGATAAAAACCCTTATAATTTTCAGTGTTCTCATTGAACACATTTTTGTAAAGCAGGGATATATGAACTCCTAGCGGGATGCAAGCCAATAAAGCAATAAGCCACTGTTGTCACTTACACTAGGGAAAAAAACCCTTTGAATCCTTCCTTTAATGTATATACATTTTCCCCCCAAGTAATAGAAGTAAAACCAGTGTATTTTATTGTAACTTATTACATTCAGAACAATTCACTATTTAACTAACTTTGTGGGATCTGCTCCTTTAAAGTAGGCGTTAACAGATTCAGTAAGGGCTACTGCAACAGGCAAGGTGTCCTGGTTTCCAAGGCTGACAGGGCTGGGACCACGTGAAACACCTAGAATACATACAGTGTAGAGGTTTAATTTTCAAAAAGCGTAGCAATAGATTTCAGAATGGTTGACTACATCTGTAATTTTCACGAAGAGGTTACCACCCATCAAGGTCACAGTAGCATCTGAAGTGTTACTTGAAAAGCGTGTAGAAAAACATGAACGTAGTACAGTACATTCGCACCATCAAAACACTGCTTAGCAGCCTAAGAGAACAGGACTATCAGTACGACATTATGGAAATGGACAGACACAAGGAAATACATATGAGACAGAGGAACACTGCATTAAAATGGCTACTGATGAAAGTGAAGTCATCAGATCCAAAGGAAATTAGACATTGACCAAGATACTTAAAAAAAATAATCCCTACTGTATGCTTATTGTATGGAAAAAAGTATGATAAAATGGTCACAGAAATGCAAAGAATTCAATTACAATATGCATGAACTTAAATGTAAATACATTAATATTACCCCATGTAAATGAAGCGTTGGAACATTCTTTTAACTATTTCAGCCAAAAAAGATTGTAATTCCCAAGCAGAAATTGTTGGAGAAGCCTTCACAGATGCCTGTGCCAACACAGATCCTGTGCATCACAAGGCAGATGCTGTGCCTTCTGAGGTCGTTCAGAAGCAAAAAGGAAGGTGGCACCTTGTTCTTCACAGAAGGTCTAATATCTTATATATATCTATATAATATATTAGACCTTAAATTCAGAGATAAGTGAAAGAAGTAGTAACAACAAGAGAGTAAAAGAGAGGATTTGGTCTAATTCTGCTACCTCATACGTCCCTCTCCACGACAATTTCTTGCCTAAGGCAGTAAAATGTTCAGAATACTTCTCAGCACCATGAAAAATATCTTAGTGCAACATCTAGCCCTCCTTAGGTCAAAAGCGATACTCTAGTAACAAGTGTTCAAAACCGAAAATTCTTAGATGAACGAAATATTATTATACTGGCTACAAAATACTGATCTATTTATCTTTTCAATGTGAACAGTAGCTTGTGGGTTTTTTTTCTTTCAGAGAATACATGGGTCATGTTTCCAAGGTTTTCTTTCTCTCCCTGAAAACTACCAATAAAATCTGTGATTCTCAGTAGTCTCAGGAATGCAGAAATCATGATTTCAAGAAGCAAATGTGCAGTAAAATAATGAATTATCAACAACCAGAAATTCTGTTTGGTGTAATACTGAACTCCAGAAGTATTCTCCACCAAAGCCAAAATATGCACTCAATGGATGTGGCACTACAGTTGATGGGGTGTTCTACGGTCTTTTTCCCCCAGTTTACTAAGAAACAACAAACAATTGCAGGTTACCCTGTATTAATTAGGCTAAATTGTTTACAGATGTATAAATGATTTTTAAATATTTTACTTATAATGGCCTTGTGTATATTTTTTCTATTGATATTTGAAAATCATGCAGAGTAATGCAGGTATATAAATAATATTCCTATTGGTAAAAGAGAAATACTGATTTCTTGAGTGAAGAGTGGAATTGATTAGGAATAATAACACTATTTTAACTTTTTGGGGGGAACACCAAAGCAAATGTACGTATGAATATATGTATGTACATTTGCTTGAGATGTATTTGAGGGACAACAAATGAGATAGCTTCTCTCTTATTTGCTCTGCCTTCCCTTTTTGTCACCCTTTGATTCATAAAAATCTATGCATTCTACTAAAAACCAATAAATTGAAATAAACATAACTGCTTAACCTCACTCTGGAAGTCACCGTTTTGTTGTCTTGCTGCTGAAAACACAATGCAGTGCATTGATACCCAACTTCAGGGCCTTGCACGCCTGCTGCGAGCTCTCAAAGGGAGGGGATGTCACAGAGCTGCACCTGAGGCTGCAGCCCAGCTCGAGGCTCCAGTTCTAACACCTTCGTCAGTGACAGCAAAGCTGGTTTTGATGCCCCGTCACCTGCCTCAGCCCCGACTGTCATTAACAGCCCCCGAGCTCTGACACAACCATACAAACAGTTGCACTGACACACTCAAGGAGGTTGCCAAACTGCAGAATGAAAGACTGCATCACTGGTCATCAAAAAGGGCAAATAAATAAACCTGATTGAATGGTTCTAGTTCACTTTAGGAAGAAGGATTCAGACAATTTTAATATTGGCTAAACGGCTGTCACAGAAATAAAATTAATTTTAAAAACAGATTACCTTTATTATGTGTATCTTCAAAGATTTGTATTATATGTAAATATAGCCACATTTTTAGCTAGTTGTCTTATGAGAATAAGGATTGTCAAAGTAAAAATGTATTCATTTTACTGGAAAGAAAGTAGTAGTGACAAACCGAAGAAGCATGACCAAGTCTCAGCTTGTTTGGGGCTGGGTCAGATAGACAGAAGATTACGTTATATAAAAGCAGTTATATGAAGTTTTGGTGACTTCAGCAACATATAACTTGTTAAGCAGTCGACTTTTAAAGCTACGTGTATCTGCCAGATACTAGAAATAGGTGGAACTTGTTTCAAAAGAAATACAGTTTTATTAGGTGTAGTCTATTAGGTTGATTAGTTAACATGTAAATCTGCTTTGAGTACAATACCTGGTGGTGTCTCACAAAGCTTTTCAATTGTAGGAAGATTTTCAATCAAAAGATCATCCTCTATTACATTTAAATGAAACAAAACGTTGCAAGAAAACAAAATATTTCAAGCAAAAAGACATGTTAAAAATTTAATATACATAAAAATGTCGCTAATTAAAATAAGGCTAAAGCATAAAAGAAACATTCAATTATGCATGCCTTGAAATTTGCTTGAAAAAAGATAATTAGAGTCAACTCTCCATTATTTGGAACAAATGGGGTAAGGGAAACACTGGATTGTGCAAAAGCCAAAAGAATACAGACAGTAGTGCAGAGTATATCCTCATGTCCCGAAGTCATTCAGTTGTCCGCACTGTCCTTCCCAGCTCTCCAGGACTATTTAATTCATCCAGTCAGTGCAGACGGAACTGGCCTTCTTTATTTTTGCTAGGCCAGGCTAATAACCATGTCAAACCTCGGTGTCGGCACACTCCTCCTTACCTCCTCCCTCACCTCATGACTTCACTCTGTCACTGTCTCCAACACCACCCACACTCAGAGCTGGGGCTATTGATGCTGCTGCCACCAACTTTTGGTTCCTTGGCACCAGTGCTGAGGCCTGAGGATGTGAGCCTGGATGGACTTTGGCAACCAAAATATTAGTTACCTTTTTGTGACGCTTCTCAGCATTTTGGGAACTGGTGAACACTGAACTGTAGCAGCTAAGGCTGAGCGGACCTGACTAGCTTTGGTCCTGCTTAGGGTGGAAACAGCTGCACTGCTTTCCGTGCAGAACTCCCACTAGAAGCTGTGCAGATGCTCTCCTGAGCTGCTGAGCTTGGGCAAGGAATCCTTGGCATCAGTAACATTCACAGATAACTGAGTGTTTACTCAAGAATCTGATTTAACTTGGGACTAAAGTGGTAATAATTCAGGAATGAAATACTTGAATTCTGCTAAAGAAACAAGTTTAAGTGTCTTTAAAAAAAAAAAGAAAAAAGCCAACCTCCCCCCAAGTAAGTCTCCTTTTCATTTGTAATAACCAAATATCAAAGCTGAAGGACTTTCCTTTAAAAACATGAGAAAACCTTCTGAAATTAGTGGCAACACATGAAGACTAATTCACTTTTTATCTTCATCTTTTTTTGTTTGCTTGTTTGTTTTGCTTTTACTAAACACCTCTGTTTAGCTTATATACTTCACTAACTTGCAGAAAAAAGATGCATTAGTTTCATTTTTTTGGAAACTGCAATTACAGGAAAACAAACAAAATGAAGAAACATAAAAGAACTCAATTTTGTGAACATCGATATTCATTCAAATTTATCAGTATCCCAAAATATCTCTGCACCTTTACAATAACATCTTCTGAACAAATACATAACACATTGTGCTTGATGAATAGATATACAAGCATACCAAATAAAAATTTATGGAATATTAATTTTGAAAAATATTTCCCTAAAGAACACACCATAATTGGGTCTACGGTCTAATCTAATGAAATCCACTGTCCTGTCTCTCACTGTCATGTAGAAGCAGGTATTGCAAAGGATGTTTGAAATACCTAGACTGGACTCACATACGGAACAATTAACTGCAACAAATAGTTTTCCTAACAGGTGGAACCTAGTTGCAGAGTTATGCTATTTCTAAAGTCAGTTAAAATGGTTAATTTAACTTACCAACTGTAGGTGTGTTTGCTGCACTCAGGGAAGCAGAAGAGGATATTGAGGAAATGCTCTCTGCACGTGCCAAAGGAGCTGCAGGAGGTGGGCTTGAGTTGGAGGTCAACGGAGGGCTGAATGGCCTAGGCTGAAAAAATGAGATTACAAGAGTATTACACAAAGTGGTTTTACAGAGATGAAAAAGAAGACTGTAAATAGAAGAGTTCTTCATTTCATGCCCAAATCAGTTTCATAGTGTTTCTCAACATAGTTCATTTAATGTTTTATCTACCCTATTTTTTTGTGTAAAACAGAGAACCCACATTTTTCCATTGGAATCAATGCCATTATTTCATAAATCATCATTATTAATTTTTTGCCTGGGGAGCTAAGTCTAATATATTTGATTATGTAGCAGCCTGTCAAGAACTTTGCTATAACACAGGAGCAGAACCTAAGCCTACAGCCTTGTGTATGTGTGCAGCAAATGTGGATTTACAGAGCTAAAGAACAGCTAGTAACAAAGAGTCCAGCAGAGGACAACTAAAATAGTTGGGACTGGAGTACATGAGAGAGAGGGACAGGCTGAAGGACCTGGGTTTGTTCAGCCCGGAGAACAGAAGCCTAATGAGGGATCTATTAAGTCTTTTATTAGCTAAAAAGGGGTACAAAGAAGGTGAATTCAGGCTCTTCTCAGGGATGCAAGATCTACAGCAAAGCAAATTTCATCTGAACTTAGGGAAAAAGTTCCTTCTTGTAACCTTGTGGTTAAATGCTGGGACAGGCTGCCCAAAGAGATTGTAAGATCTCCCTCTCTGGAGATTTTCAAAACTCAGCATGTCTCTGAGCAACCTGATGCAATTTTGAAGTTGGCCCTTCTTTGAGCAGGAGGTTGGCCTAGAGATCTTCAAAAGTCCCTTCCATCCTAAATCTCTGGATGGTTTTATGACTCACTTAACTGTTAAGATATTAAACTAACTAAAGATAATTTTGGGATCAACCTATCTAAAGATACTGGACCCCCTGAAGCATCTATTTTGGCTGGGTAACTTTTTTTTTTAATTAAAATTTTGGTCGTATCGGAGCTGTTGCCAGGTATGTGGCTTTTATACAAACTACGGGAATTGTAAAAGGTATCTATATATAATGAAGACAACTGACCATCTTCCACTTGTATCCAGATAACAGCCGATTTCTAAAATAGCAGTGTAAGATGGATGTAGCTTTGTGCAGAATCACACTTTATACCAGAACAGTACCAGCTAAATTCTTCTCTTTAATTATGATGACATGAGAAACAGATTCCTTGGTCTTAGAGAAATTACTACAATTTTATATCGGATTGAGAAAGAATCTCAAAATGAACCCTATTCTGACCTTATTATTTTCTTATAGAAATGCAAAACAGTTTAAAAAAGTTTCAGTTTTGTCAAAGCATAAGACCAGAATTTTGTTCATAAGAAGAATATGGTGAAACTATCTTGCTACTTTGAAAGATGGTAAGAGGATCTTACCACTGTAACCTTTTTCTAGTAAGTCAAATGAAACCCAAAGAATCCTAATATTCACAGGGGAGATCAAGCATGGCTTGGTCTGATATGCTGTCTGGGAATTTGCATTCTTTGCCACATTCCCTACCGGCAGGTGGACCTGCACTGCAGCCAGTGAGCAGAGATGCAGGCACCATGCAACCTGTCACTATGCGGATGGGCAGCGGCTGCAATCCGCCACCCCCTTCTCCATCAACAAGCACCAAGGGCGGGGAGAAGTCACAGCAGGGCTGCTTGTGTCAACACATGATTGATAAAGAGCTACTTAATACTATTCATTCCCCAAAACTTTGGTGATGTCCCTAAATTGGCAGAGCTTTGTTAATAACTTCACTAGCATTTCACATTTTGAAAACTTAAATCTCATACACATGCTATCCTTTTGTCATCAAGTTATTGATTTGTTCAATTAAAAACTTTCAGCCGATGCAAAAATTATGTTTTGGACCTTTGTAGTTCTGTTAAGAATTATTCTGTTATAGGAATATAGTTACCATGAACAACTTCCATGCCTATCTGGCAACAGTGAAAATATGCTGATGTGATTCCTTGAACATTGGCTGGGATGTAACTCCACTGTAGTAGTGTAAATGAATGGTATATCTGAAATCAAGTTGCACCAGAGAATTAAAAAAACCCTAATCAATACATACTATTTCATTAATCCCACTAAGTTTCCCAGTAGACAGCTTTGGTCTTGAAGCAGGCCTTGGAGGAGGTACAATGGTGCCTACAGAAAGAGGAGTTGTGGGTCTTGCTGAAAGAAAGCAAATTTAAGGAAATAAATATTAGAAAGGTCAGACTGAACATAAATTTGTACTCACTTGAAGAGAATAACTGGAAGTTATGTTTCTATTAGAAGTTCCTATTTTACAAGCTCCATTTTATAAGATTTACCACTAATCATAAATGCTTTTAAAATTGGGCCATGTGATACCATGAAAAGTGACTCTAAAAATGGCATCATGGGCTTTCTCATTGCTCTCAAATAAGTTTATACCAACTATTCGTGGAAGTCTGTATGCAAAATATGGTTTTACCCAAGTTTCCTTTTGTGTATAGTCTATATGGATTCAGAATATAGGACAGTTTTCTTGTCTCACCACAAACGGAAAATTCAGTGGAAATTCATACTTTGTCCTGGCTGACAATGGCATAACTGTTTACACTAAATTTTGTCCACTGAAATCCCATTGACTTCTAAGTATATGCCAGCGTAACAGATAAATTACACTGTGGATTGTAAGAACACACTAACTCCATATTATCCCTTAGCCAACCCATCAGAAGTGAAAAGCAGTAAAAGAAAAAAAATACTGCCCCCATGTCCTTCTAAACCTACCAGAAACAACTAACACATTGTGGCAGCAGTACAAAAATGCCATTTTTACAAAGTCACTTTTCTGAATAGAACAAATAGAGCTGTATTTCAAAATAAATGTTAGCTGCCATCCAATGAGTACGCCAGATCTAAAATTAACGTCAAAATAGATTGAAATCCAAATATATAACTATGTCATTGCAGCACACCATATTATCTCCTCAAATTATTCTGGATTTGTTCTTTTTTAATTAAATCAGTTGATGCTATTTAAAATGCAACTTTTAAGTATGGAGTTTTCTCAGGCATTCAGCGTAAGTCTGCAGTTGTTTTAAGTATGGGAGTTTCAACACTGACTTGAGAAGAAAGAAATTAGGCTAACACTGACCACACCCACCTTAAGAGTTGCAAACTCAAATGTCCCCATATAAATTAACTTCTAAAATATCAGTCATTCCTTTAAAATTCTTATTATGCCCCAAGACGACAGTGCATGTTAAGCACTGAATAGTCTGCTGCAGTACCACAGGTATTCAGTAAGTCATGGCAGACTTGCTCAGATGCACTTTTCCTTTGCCCTCTTAGTATGTAGAATTACTGTGTTATCATCCATGCTTCAAAATACTCGGTGTTAAAAGGGAATTGTTTTAAATCCAATTTATTTAACTTTATTTAATGTGCAAATATATATACAAAGCCATTTAGGAATGGAATTGTTTTTGCAAATTGATCACTTAATCTTTGGAGATCTCACCACTGTCTGACATCCCACAAAAATACACTCTTACTTCTAGAAAAGCAAAGCTCTGCATAGTTAAGGGAAAGCAACGCCTCTAACTGAATGATTCTAATTTTTCTTCTTATTTCAATCTGAATACTTACTTCATTGTCCTAACTTTTAAGGAAGTCGGTGCTAACAAGCAGTTTAGTACATTCTAAGTAAGAAGATGAGTTAATTTTAACATCAGGTGAGCGATAATAACAAAAAGAAAAATAAGTCCAAAGCTTGATTTTTTGAGTCAGTTATTAGCAAAGAGCAGTACACAATGCATGCTTGCCATACCCTTATTTGTATGAGCACAAGAAGACACTAGACTATAGTCCAGTAGTGCTGAAGATGATGCGGAAGAAATTTCAGCAGCAGTGCCAGTTTCTTCAATGAATAATTGTTCATGGCATATAGTATTATTGAAAAGGTCACTTTGATCCTCAGAAGCACAGCTGTTGGAAGAATTCCCAAGCAAAGCAGAAGAGGCAAGGCAGGCATTTTCAGTTTTAAAATGCAATCTCTGGGGCTCCTTGTTTGTGCTTGTGTGTCTGATTGTAAGTTCATCAGCAAAGGAAATCCACTGACTCTGAGACCATGAAACACAGGATAAAGGAGTGGTGCTCTCTGATGGTGCTGCTGTAACACCAGATTTGCACAAAGTGCTAATGGTAAAGTCTGGTGAGGATGGGCTTGTAGACCCAGAATCTGTCTGGTGTCCAAGCAAAGACTGAGATACTCTACACCCAGGCAAATCAGTGGCAGATGAGGAGGAGCTCCTATTGTGCTCTTTTAGGGTAGCTGAAGGAAAAGGGAAGAATTGAAACTAGGACCAACACTGAAAAGATAAAAATTTCAATATTCAAAAAAGTATTCAATATCCACTGCATGAGGATTACTATCTGGCATGAAAAATAACTGCTCTACTAGGCTAAAAAATCCCACCACTTACAAAAAAAAAAGAAAAAAACCCCGGCAACATATCACATGTACTTCATAGTGCCAACCATGTCACTTTCCATTTTTTAGGTAAGCAAGCCAAAAAGTAATTTGTTGTGTTTCTTTCCACTTAAGGCCATGACTTCCTGTATTCCTCTAACTTCCTCCCTGTCATCGTTTAACTTCCTCTCATCTTTGTCTTCTCCTTGTGTCCTACTCCATTTTTGTTTTCTCTCCATTGCTTTCTGCTTTTCATTTCTTTCGAAGTTACTTAATCAAACCTATCCTATCCTGTTCTTTCCAAACATTTTTATCCTCTTACCCTTAACATTTGTAATGGGAAGTCCCAACATAAACAGCTGTCCTGTGAATGAAGGAAGACAATGCAGTTATGAGATCCTGTTTGATGTTCTTCTGTCTGTATCAACCGGTATCTAGTGAGTTATTAACTACATGCATGAGGCACCATCCACCCCATTTTATTTCCTCTCTTATCCTATATAGTCTTCAGGCTGCTGGAAAACAGGAGTTTTCCACAAGTATTCCCTGCACTTGGCTGTTGCCTGTTGCAGTAGATGACAACAGAAGCAGAAAACGCAAGGTTAGTCAATTCTCAACATCTTGCAGGTTGGCAAAGCTAGGAGCAACAGCAGAGTGACATACAGAATCAAAAAAAGAGATCAACACGTTTAAAAGTTCAGATCAAAAGTACAGATGTCCTCTCTACAATGGTCCTTTTACTACAAACAAGTACATTCTCTAAGCCCACATAAACAGAGTTTTAACATAGCTTTCCCTTTTTTACATATGTTTTAAATATCATTCAAAGGCTTTAAAATACTACTATAAATCCTATTCAATAAGCAATGTGGAAATGTTCAAAACTTTTAAAAATATATATGGACAGAAATGAGAAAGATAAACAAAAAGCAGCATTTTTACAATATCAATAGCTGGCTAAAAAATGTCTGTTATGTTTGTTCAAAATAACAAAGTTATCTTAAACTTCTAATAAAGCAGGATTATTCATGGATAACCAAAGTTTACTTCTGTGCTGCATAAACCACTGTCTGCTCAAATACCATGGTACTTTTAAGTGTTCAGTGATTAACACAGAGTTATGAAACAGTATCTAAAGAAATGTTTTAACAGTAAAAAGTAATCTGTGGGACATGCTGCATCATGATATGCAGATATGCTGTCTAGAAAACAACTAATTTATTTAATTAAAGTTTCGGATTGAGATTTTCAAAAGCTTTAAGCATCAGTTTACCTATATTAACCTTCAAGTTGAAGATAAAACACTGATTTAAAGGAAAACACAATCAGATCAAAGCTGTGTATTTTTTAAAGTCTTTAGAACTAAGCTGCAGGTTAGCAAGCATCAGAACTTGACTTAAACAACAATATGACCTACATTGAGCCAGTACTTTTGTTTCCCAAATGCATTAGTAATTTGTTATACTTCAGAACGCTCACTTTCTACATCATTTCACAAGTGCAAATATCTTAGTTAACTCCTGGAACAACAGTTCTTTAAATAGTTATTTAGCAGATAAAGTTTGCCAAGGCACAGATGTGATGTATCCAAAATCGACTTAGGCCCACAGGACGCTATATGCCACCGATTTTGATGAAATGCAGCGCCCTGTGCATAAGCCTCTTTCAGGTATGAGGGCTCACGTAGATGACTGCCCCCCCCAGATACGGCTACAGAGAATGTTACAGATCCCAATTACCTGTCGCTACTTATCAGACAGGGACTGCTTTCTCCACAATTCTGTATGAACATTTCCTAACCTGCTTTGACTTCCCATCCAGGTGCAGGAATAAAAAACTGGATACAGAACAACAGCCAGCACAACAAATTAAGTATCCTCTGTCTTCTTCTACAGACTCCCAATGCCAGACCAAAGCTAGCAAAACAGGTTATTTTGAGAAAGCACCACTTCATATTCCAGTAATAAATATCTCTATACAATTTATCCTTAAATATGTTACAAATTTGGATCAACTAGCCAATAATCTTGACTGGTTACCTAAGTAAGGAAGAGATAATCTGGTGATTTCCATAAGCTAGATTTGTTAAAAAACGTAACTTTTAAGGAACATGAATTTGTAGTGAAAAAACAAGTTCCACTTAAAACCTGAAGGGTTACATAGCAATGCTGGCTGCTGCTAAAAGGACATTACTAGGGCGAAGAAAAATTAACGCTACTTGTGCAGGGCTCCCCTATTGATACATGTACTCTTCCTCACTGTTTTTCAATCTGTATGTTAAAGCCCAGAGGAAAACAGCTAGAAAGCCACGACTGTGAACAAAGAAGCTAGGTCTACTATCATTTTGGGTATATGAATACCTAGTTAAAAGAAACAGTGAACACTTCTTTTCTCAGGCATGTGGGAGTCGAAGAGTCTGTATTAAGACAGAAGGGGTTGGATACACAGTAGGTAGACTGAAAAGAGCTATGGAAACAGCGTTATCTGCTACTGTTAGTAAACAGTAAAGCCTGCATTAAATCTCCTGAGATAATCAACATAAAAAATAGATAATTTATACAAATACTTTCAGTAAGCAGGTCCTAATATAGCTGTAATATCTGTTTTTGTTTCAGTCTCTCCTTCCGTTTTCTGACCTAGTTTCTCAACATCTTCTGCTCTCAACCTCTTCAAAACACATACCCACTCATGCTATTTTGCCTCCATCTCCTTCTCTGCCTTTGTAATGTAACAATCAATATTGACTATTGTTGTGATTTTTTTCCCCCAAAGACC